CCTAGTTTCCTCAAATAGGCCCCACCTCCCAATAGTGTCACCATATTATTATTTATTCAGAGAATTAATACATCATGTGTATTGTTACTGTGCTTGTTCAGCTCATGTTAGGCAGTTATGTTGGTAAGGCTTTATGGATGTAGCTTCTGACAGTCCTAGAAAGCACAATTTCACAGCAGACTCCCTGATCTTCTGACTCTTACAATCTGTATACTCCCTTTTCCAGAATATTTACTGATCTTTATTATAGAAACTGTTTTGTAAATGTGTCTACTGGGACTGGACTCTACAAGTCTGCATTTTGATTTGTTACAGTTTTCTATAATGGTCTCTGTCTGTTGCAACGAGATATTTTCTTGAAGATGGGTGAGGACTACACTTATCTGTGGGCATAAGATTAAATATTTAGAAGGTAGCTAGGGATTATGCTGGTTTAGTAAAATGGTAATTGTAGAATCTCCTCCAGGATCCATGATTTCACTAGCCCTGGGCAGTTGGTTAGATTTCTAGTATGAGGCATGATTTTCCTCTTGTTAAGCCAATCTTAAGTACAATTAGAGAGCTGTTGGTTACTGCCGAGGTATGTGTGCCACTACTACAACTTAGGGTTATTGTTCCATGCTGGTCATTGTTATGGTTCACAATCATCATAGTTGTGTAGGACTATTGGTTCATTTCCTCCTTTGAAAATTTACATGTTGCCTTATGATACCATGAAAGCTAGTCCTGAGGGAGGAAGTATTCATGACAGCTTCAGCTCAGTCAGGGATTTTAAGTTCATGTGTCTGAAGTGTGTGGTGCCTTCAGAAATAGGGACTTACCTTCCACCTCTGAGGGGACAGCCAAGGGCAATTACAACAGCCTGTAGTGTTCTGGGAGTCTCTAGGACAACGCTGACCAACAACTCAAAATAGCATTTCTCAAGCCTAGTATTAGAGGTTTTTTATGCATACAGTCTTTGGATCTTGTTGGTCTATATGAGAAATTTTCATTTAAATTATTTCATATTTATATTTATAGACAGGCACATATTATAAGATTTTAAAAGGAAGACAGTAAGCTAAAAGAAGCAATAAGCAAATATGTGTCTTGGGTAATTAAAGACAGAAACTAATTTATAGATAGAACTTTTGGGTACTCAGAAAGGGAGGACAGTGGAGCAGTTATAAGTGATAAGCATAGTTTTGCTACTTACTTGCTGTTTGGCCTTAAGCAAATGTCTTATCAATCCATGCTTTATTTTTCTCACACATCCATCAAATGATAATTAGTTCAGATTCATAATTTGTGAAATATTATAGATAAATATCTGAGAAGATTGACTGGCACATTATAAGTATTTTATAAATGCTAAACATGACTTAGTTAATTGCCAAGGCAGCTTGTTTGATCCCAAAGAGTCATTAACTTTATATCTTCCATTCTAGGCCCTGCCCCATTCTTCTTTTTGTGCAAACTAGTTTACTATAACCTTATTCCACATTGTTTCCTATTTTTTCAATATTTTGCTTAAATGGTGCCTTTTTGGCCTGTTACACTTCAAATTCATGGCATACAGTAGTTAATAGTAGTATGTCACTGAGAAAGGCATTTCAGCTCTGTTATAATTCCATTTCCTTTTTCATTAGATAAAATGATAGCAATAATTATAGAACCTATGCCATAAACTATTGCAAGGACTGAATGAGCTATGATTTCATAGCATATGATACATAAGCATTGACTGCCATTATTGTGTCAATTCTCAAAGCATCCTTTTAACATTCTGTTCCTACTGATAACTGATTTGGAGGGATGAACTGACCTGTGAATCTCAGTCTACAAATGATTAGCAAGGCTGAAGAAACTTCCAAAGCAGTTAGCAGGAGAAAGAAGAAAAAAGACACTTTGAAAATTAGCATAAGAACAGTAACGAATATATCTTGATTACAAGAAAATATATTCAACTGGAGCTGGAGATAATCATATCTGGCAAATTAAACCATTCCCAAAATGCAAATATCTGTGTTTTATATATTTTGGAAGTGGTCTCCTGTGCCAGTGCATTCATGTGTACTTCCCACTTTCTCTTCTATGAGGTTCAGTGTGGTTGATTTTATGTTGATGTCTTTGATCCATTTGGTCTTGAGTTTTGTTCATGGTGATAAATAGGAATCCATTTTCATTCTTCTACATGTTGATATCCAGTTATGCCAGTACCATTTGTTGAATATGCTTTCTTTTTCCATTTGTTATTTTTTGCTTCTTTGTCAAAAATCAGGTGTTCGAAGGTGTGTGGATTAATATCCGGGTCTTCGATTTGGTTCCATTGGTCCTCCTGTCTGATTTTATGTCAATACCAAACTGTCTTCAGTACTGTAGCTCTGTAGTAGAGTTTGAAGTCAGGGATTGTGATGCCTCCACAAGTTACTTTATTGTATAGGAGGATTGTTTTGACTATTCTGAGTTTTTTGCTTTTCCATATGAAGTTGAGTACCGTTCTTTTGAGGTCTGTGAAGAATTTTTCTGGTATTTTTAATGTGCATTGCATTGAATCTGTAAATTGCCTTTGGTAAGATTGCCATTTTTACTATGTTAATTCTACCTTCCCAAGAGTCGTGGGAGATCTTTCCACTTTCTGGTGTCTTCTTCAATTTCTTTCTTCAAAAATTCAAACTTCTTGTCATACAGGTCTTCCACTTGTTTGGTTAGAGTTATTCCAAGATATTTTATGCTATTTGTGGCTATTGTGAAGGGTGATGTTTCTCTGATTTCTTTCTCAGTCCATTTTTCATCTGTGTAAAGGAGAGCTACTCATTTTTTTGAGTTAATCTTGTATCCTGCTACATTACTGAAAGTATTTATGAGTTGTAGAAGTTCATTGATAGAATTTCTGGGGTCACTTATGTAAACTATCATATCATCAGCAAATAGTGAGAGTTTGACTTTTCTGGTTTGTATCCCCTTAATCTCCTTTTGTTGTCTTATTGCTCTAACTAGGACCTCAAGGACTATATTGAACACATATGGAGAGAGTGGATAATTTTGTCTTATTCCTGATTTCAGTGGTATCACTTTGAGTTTCTCTCCATTTAGTTTGATGTTGACTGTTGACTTACTGTATATTGCCTTTATTATGTTTAGGTAGAAAACATATTTCTTTTAAGTGCAAGTAGGCAAATGCTATAAATATATCAAAGTCATTTGCATAGAGTTCTCAAGAGATGTTGTTGTTGAAGATAATGAATTATATATGTGTTTAATTCACACACACACACACACACACACACACACGATTGAGTATGAATGAGAATCAGAACTTCCCCTGGAATTACGTTTCAAATGAAAGTCTACAACTTTGAATTTCACAGGTAGCTCTCTATAAGAGAGTTAAGTTCAACCTCCTGTCTTTTCTATGATCTCCAACTGAGGCATCATAGCTTAGAAAACTGAAGAACATAAATTAGGCACATAACCAATATTATAAACTGAGTTATTGAGTATGCTCAATTATGTTTGAATTACTGCTGCACAATTTAATTCAATGCTTAATCCACGTTATTTTAAAAACCATTTTCTGCACATATCAAACCATATTTTCCATGTAATGTTTACAGTCCTAAGTACATATTAAAATACTTAATCCCATTTCATTATTGTTTACATGTTGGCACCCACTACAACACTGAAGATAATATTAAATTTAACATAATTAGTATGTGAAAGCAAATAAGACTAAAATAATATAATAAACTTTTATCTATCAAAACCTTCTGGTCCATCTAACATCTTTCCACATACCACACCCTTGCCAATCCTAATGCATAAACCAGTTTCTTCTACTTTCTACTTCTTAATAGCTAAATTGACAAATATCCATATTACTTGAAAGGAATAAAACATACTGCACAACCATCAAAGACTCAGGGAACAGCAAAGAAGAGTGGGAGGAAAGAATTTAAGAAGTGGGAAACTCCAAAGGCCCACTCCCAGCTGAGGAGTTATTGGCAGTTGATAGACACTGAGGAAAAGGTGGATAGTCACTTCTCTTTGGGGATGTGGCCACTGGCAAATTGTTCATGCCCCAATGGATGGTCCCATTCTTATTTACAGACGGTCAGCACTAACTAGACTCTGAGGAATAATAATAACAAATAATAATAATAAACTAGCAACAGCAGTAATCAGGGCACAAAGTAGGGACAGATGAGTTGGTGGGTTCCAGGGGTAGTTAAAGGGTCTCTGCTTCTGCAGTGCCGGGATTGTAGGCAGCTACTGTGCCTACCCTCACAATTTGGCAGCAAGAGCTTTATCCTATGAGCCATCTCTCTAGTCAGAGGGACAACTTATTGATCAACTTGGTTTTTAAAGCAGCATGAAAATTTTCTCATAGGTTTCATGAGTTTTCAGTTATTGGACCATATAATCCAGTAACTTAAATAGTACACAGAGAGCAAATAGTCATTTGTAATCTAGAACATGATTTAATTGTAGCACAAGGACCTAGAAAAGGAATTATGAGAGGATGATAAAAAAAACAGAAATGAAAGAAGGTTCAATTCAAAAGAAGAAATTCAAGGTAAGGAAAGGAATGGGAGAATTTTTTTTCTGCTTTTTTGAGATAGGGCTTCTCTGTAGCTTTGGAGCTTGTCCTGAAAGTAGCTCTTGTAGACTAGGCTGGCCTCGAATTTACAGAGATCCGCCTGCCTCTGCCTCCGGAGTGCTGGGATTAAAGGCATGTGTCACCACCAACCGGCTTGAAAGACTTTTTTTTTTAAATATTAGATACTTTTCAGGACCTCCTCTCATTTTTATATGGTGTTCTCATTATTGAGGTTAAAATTAAATTGGAGAAAAGGTATTCTTTCCTCTAATGAATAGTCTTGAATAATTTGTTTAAGAAATTCTTTGATAAATCAGTTGATTGCTTGCACTATAATTTTAGTGATCACGTAGGTTTTCAACAATACCCTACATTCATAAGTATATCTTCCCAAATATTCTTGAAAATACTCCTCTCCATGCTCTTTGGCAGTACATATACTAAAACTGGAATGATACAAAATATTAGCATGACTCCTACACAAGGATGGCATGCAAATTCATGATGTGCTCCATACATTTCATATTTTATCTTGCTATTTATATTTTTAAATGAATGAATAGATGGATGAATACACAAAAATCTTGCCACTCGGGCAAAGGTTAACAACTGAACTGTCTGTCATACCTGCCAGAAGAGGTAAGTCAGTTTTCTTCAATAGGTTGATACTGGGTATATCAACCACTCCAGGACAGGCTTCACATTCAGAAGTAATTGAACAGCATATAAAGGACCCCAGAGTGTTTTGGTGTGTGTGCTTTTATTTGGCTGTAATTATTGGGATTTGGGGAGAAGTATGTTGTTTTATTGTGTTTTCTTGGTTTAGGGGTTTTTGTTGCTATATTGGATATTTGTTTGTATTTTGAGAAAGAACTTAAAGTTGGGTAGGTAGCAATAGGGGAAGGATCTAAATACTAAGAGGACATAGAGGAGGTGAGGAATATGACCAAAATATATTTAAATTTAGAATTGTTTTAAATAATAAAAAATGCTCCGCTCTTTTCACACATTTAATGACCCACTCAGGGTATTCACCATATTTTTTCACAGCAGCCTATTAATCACAGAGTCTACTCTCAAGTTCATCCCTTCTCACTGTTGCCAGAGTGACCCTTTTGAGGGACATATTGTAACATGTAATTCTAGTGCTCAGGATCTTTCCCCGAACCCCTCAGGATCTTTTAATGGCTCCCCATTGTCTCCAGTAAAATATCCAAGCTTTTTCTGTGTGGTTTTCTTTTTAATTCAAAATTTTTATACAATATATTCTGATCACAATTATCCCTCTTCCTACTCCTCCCACTTTCCTACCCAGCCAACTCTATGTTCTTTCTCCTCTTTTTAGAAAATAAACACCTAAACTTTTTAACCTTCTTGTTCAAATCCTCCAAAGTTCCATTGATGCAATTAATCTTTCTGCTATGAACTTTTTCATTTATATATGTATACTCTATGAAATTCTTAAATATCCAATTCCTTTATTCATGATAGAAAAGCTGTGTCTTCCCAATTTTCAAGTCTGGAATCTACACCAAAGTCTATATAAAAATATACATGAATTTGCTAACAAGAACTATGGCAAACAATAAGTGATTCAATTCATGATACTTGAATCTTGGTAGCAAGTTATTGTATAAGCTTTCATCTAAAGACACAATACAAATTAAATGTGTATAAATAATAGCCTAATCTGAAAGAGTTGATCAATGAATCAAGAGCTGTAAATATACGTTTGCCTCAAAACATCATGAAATAGTTTCTTTAAAAAGATTGTGAAACTCAAAGAAGTTTGTCTAGTACATTCCGTTCAGAGACAAAGAATAAAAATTGGAGAACACTTAACTCTTTGAGTGCATTTGTTCTACTTTTTTTCCATTATTTCTCCTAGGGGCTGTTACCTTTTTAATGTTGTTAGCTCAAGCATCCTGAACCTGAAAATCTCAAACCCAAAGTGACTCAAGATCTAAAATATTTTTAGTGCCAGCATAATGTCACAGGTGAAAACTGTCACCCTTCACCTCATGTGATGAGCTTCATACACAGCTTTGGTAACTATAAATATTGCATAAAATGACATTCAGGCTAAGTCATTAAGACATACATAAAACATAAATGAATTTCATGCTGAGGACTCTCACCCTCCAGATATGTATACATAAATATTGAAACCCTCCAAATGAAAATACCAAATCTGAAACACTAATATTTCAGGTAAAGAATAAAATTGCTTTTATTCCTCCTAAGAACATGACTTTTTGAAGAACAGGAGAGATGATTTTAATCATAAATTATGCATGACATTGTTTTTCAAGAAAAATTTCATAAAATAAGAAGTTTAACTGTGTAGAAGCTGAACACATTGGTGCATGCTTCATTGCCTATTTGGTAACTTTAGCCTTGTAATGTGTTGAGAGTCCAAGGCAGATTCTCATCAATTTAACAAATTTATATGTGTGCCTGGAATAATGGTCAGAAGGCCCAGAAATAAATGAGATAGCTCTACTTCACAAAGCCAGCAGATTCCTACTTGGAAAAACAGATAGACATGACTGTATATTCTACCTTTGGTGTCAAGCTATATCATTAATTGGGAGAAGAAAGGTGGGAGATAAAACCATGTTGTGTAGTGATGAGGCAAGCAGACCTGCTTTTGTCCCGCCCAGCTCCCATATGGCTAGCCTTTTACCCAAAATAACAACATATAAATTGTATTTATTTAAACATTGCCTGGCCCATTACCTCCAAACTCTTATTGGGTAACTCTCATATATTGATTCAACCCATTTCTAATAATCTGTATCTCATCCTGAGGCCGTGGCTTACCGGGAAAGATTTAGCATGTCTGACCTGGCAGCTTTATGGCGAGCGGCTTTCTGTCTCTGTTTTTTTTCTCCCATAATTTTGTTCTGTCTTTCCCATCTACCTATGTTCTGACCTATCAGGTCAAGCAGTTTTCTTTAATAATTAACCAATGAAAGCAACAGATAGATAGAAGACCCTCCTACATCAATTTTGGAGGGGAAGATGAGTTTTGGCATGCCTATAGAACACTTAGGTGGATAATTTTGGTGTATACATGGATAGTCTGGGGATGAGGAAGAATTTAAGAGTGAAGAAGCAGGTTATTTAGTTATGTTCTTAAGCAATACATTTAGCTAGGTGCAGTGCATATGCCTTTAATTTAATCATTTGGGAGGTAGAGGCAGGTGGATCTCTGTGAATTCAAGGACAGCCTAGTCTACACAGTGAGTTCCAGGACAGCCAAGGCTATATGGAGAGACTTTGTCCCAAAAGTGAATGAATGAATGAATGAATGAATGAATTAACAAAAAATAGAAGACTCCTTTAAAACAAAGGGGTAAACTTATCACTCAAGAGAACAGGTAGACTAGAGTGAGATAGGAAACTGAAGGCAGTTTTCTGAGAGATACCCATAAAAGAGGAAGGCAGAATAACAGGAGCAATAGAAAGAAAAAGGCATATCTAACCGAATACCACTGAATCAGCATAAGTATCCAATTTGGTTCTACTCTGAAAAAAGCATTGATGCAATATTGTAATATTTTCATAATCATAAATCCACAAAAGCAAAGACAACAAGGGAAGTGAAAACTAAATCTGAGAAGCTGCAGAGTAGGTATCTTCCTGGTAATGAATTTCATAGCCGCAAGCATTGCGCAAGATTGTTTCTGAAAAACAAAGAAGATGGGGAAAAATGTAGAGGGATGACGGATTTTTATGACTCTTTGTGGAAAGCCTAATCTAAATCAGGAAGCCTGTAGGTTGAGTAGTAAATTGATGGTAAACAATTAGAGACATCTTATACTAATTATGGCTTCAGTAAATCCAAATGCAAAAGAAATGGAACAAATAAAGGTTAAAGTGTAAAGAGAAGGAATAAAAAATGGTTGTTTGTACAAAAATAGCTGATACTGAAATATATTTCCTAGCTGTGAGAAAAGACAAAATGTTAAAATCCACAATAGAGGGAGGAGAAGGTGAAAGATGAATGGTTACCAAGACCTCAGCTGAGAAGATGAGAGAGTGTTGTTACCTTATGAAATTTTAAAAGAAATACAAATGTAGGTCATCTGCTTAAAGTGAAGAAGCTAGAACTGGGAGCCTGAGAAAAGAAATGAAGGTTTGGAACAGCTGCTGTGGGAAATGCTAGCAGGAGCCAGCTATGGATGAGAAAAGGATTAAGGATAAGAGTTAAGGGTCCAGCTGAGGTTGAAAAGCATGCATTTGTAGTGGAGCCAATGAGCATGGATATGCAATTTTCCCCAGATAGGTCTTCAGCTGCCTGGGAACAGGAACAGGCAAAGTGGACCACTGAAGTGAGCCAGAACTGGGCAGGGATTGCCAAAGCTGTGATATGGAAGGTGAAGGAGTCAAAGGAATGGAAAATGCTTGTGAGTGTTGTTGAAATGGAGTCCAGAATAGGGAGGAAGGGAGAAGACAGGATGTGGCTGCTGGCCTAAGAGATTAAGTAAGAGAGAAAGGAATGGAGCTCTAAGGAAAAATAATTTGATTGATCACAAGGCCATTGCTTGATGGTTCAAATATACATTCAGGTGACCATTACCTCTGTCACCAAACTCTGAACATTTTTGGCTAGTTAGCTGTTGGTTTTCCAGGCAAGTGCAGCGCTAATAAGGTTTACATGACTGCTTTCTACCGTAAGTTATTTTGCGGCAGTGCTCTTTAGTCCAGTTTTCCCATTGTTTTTAAGGTATTTCTTGAAACTAATCTTGGCGAATTCAGCCTGGGTGGGGGAAGGGGCTGAGGCACAATGAGGGGAAGTATGTATTTAATAATTTCCTTTTGTGTATGGCTCTGGGTCTGGCTCTGCCTCAAAGACCCTTTACTGTAAGGAACACAAAGAACATTTGGAAGCTATCAAGTTGCTGAGGGTCCCAAAGTGCAGCCTGCCCTGAAAAGAAATCTCGGCTAATCTCCTTTCCAGCCCTCCTCTAGAGGGCAGCTGCTTCCCTCCTCAGTTTGGGAGCCTGCAGCTTCTCGTCCGCATAGCTGTTCACCATGTGTAGGATGTGATTTTACAACAGTAGAGAGGGGAAGATAGGGTGGAAATGTTTATTGAACAGAAAATTTAAGGCCTGCCAATCTCCAACCCATAGAGGCCCCTTCCAGACCTCTGGATCATATCACCAGGAGAACTTTGTATTGAATCCCACAAAGCTAAGATGGATTCAAACATATTTGCATTAGTAATAATTACCCTGTCTACCAAAAAGGATATATGCAATTTCTGTGACCCCAAGTTATGGATAAATGTCCCATGATTCCTGTTTCTAGTTCCTTGTTATTAAGTGGTTTAAAATGATAAATGTTTCTGGGGTGGGTGGTGGAGGTTTTAATGATTTTAAGATTCCTAACTTTAGTTTATGGCAACATAGTATTTAATAGCTACACCTTCTGTTTTCAGGAACAATTTATGCCACAGAAGCTGTGGGGTTTGTCACATGGGTCCCATTCTTCTTCAGTGTTGGAAAACAAGAAT